TCAGTTAACTGAGTTGGTTTCAGCTCAGGTCATGATCTCCTGGTTCATGGGTTTGAGCCCCTCATCAGGGCTCATTGGAATGTTCTCTCCCCCTCTCTCTGCTCCCCCCTCTCCTGCCCTCTCTCAAAATAAATAAACTTTAAAATATTATTATTTAAAATAATAATATTGTGTTGTATGAATATACCACATGTGGTATATCAATTTATCAGTGGATGGACATTTGCGTTGTTTCTGCCTTTGCTATTTTATATATATATATAAAATATATATATAATTCCTATATATATTATATATATAATTATATATATAAAATATATTATATATAATATATATTATATAATATAATAATTTCTATATATATAATTCCTACCTTTATATATAATATATATATTCCTTCCTATATATAATCCTTCCTATATATTATATATATATATTCCTACCTTTGCTGTTATAAATAATACTACTCTAAACATTTGCATACAAGTTTTTGTGTGGACATATGCTTTCACACCACCAAACAGTTTTCTAAAATGACTACACCAGGGGCACCTAGGTGGCTCAGTCGGTTAAGCATGTGACTTCAGGTTAGGTCATGATCTCTCTGTTAATGAGTTCAAGCCCTGCACCGCTCTGTGCTGACAGCTTGGAGTCTGGAGCCTGCTTGGGATACTGTCTCCCTCTCTCTCTGCCCCTCCCCCACTCACACTGTGTGTACGTGTGTGTGTCTCTCTCTCAAAAATAAACAATAAAAAAATTTTTTTAAATGACTGCACCATCGAACAACCCCCTCCCCCAGTAATCTAGGAGGGTTCCAATTTCTCCACATCCTAACTAACAGCTGTTATTGTCTGTCGTTTGTATGTTTAATTTCCTCTTTTACTTTTTTAAGATTTTACTTTTAAGTAATCTCTCTGCCCAACATGGGGCTCAAAGTCATAACTTTGAGATCAATAGTTGCAGACTCCCCCAACCAAACCACCAAGCTGCCCCCAATGTCCTTTTTTTAAAAAAAATGTTTATTTATTTTTGAGAGAGAGAGAGAGCGCGAGAACGAGTGGGGGAGGGGCAGAGAGAGACACACACAGAATCCCAGAGCCTGGAGCCTGAGCTGTCAGCACAGAGCCCAACATGGGGCTCGAACTCGTGGACCGTGAGATCATGACCTGAGCCAAAGTCTGACGTTCAGCAGACTGAGCCACCCAAGTGCCCCTCCAACATCCTTTTAATTTTCAACTTTCAGAGTGAGAAGTCCTTCTGTTTACTTCCACTAGCATACAACGTGAGTTCTCCTCATTCACTTTTTTAAAATAATTTTTAAGTTCCAGAATAATCTTGGGGGCGCCTGGGTGGCTCAGTCAGTTGAGCATCTGACTTCAGTTCAGGTCATGATCTCATGGTTCGTGGACTGGAACCCTGTGTCAGGCTCTGGGCTGACAGCTAGCTCAGAGCCTGGAGCCTCTTTCAGATTCTTTGTCTCCCTCTCTCTCTGCCCCTCTCCAGCTCGTGCTCTGTCTCTCTCTATCTCAAAAATAAACTATAAAAAAAATTTTTTTTAATTCCAGAATAATCTTAGATTTATTGAAGTTGCAAAGATAGTACAGAGTCCTTTTACACTCCACCCTCAATTTCCTCTATTGTTAATGTCTTAGGTGAACATGGCACTTTTGTCAAAACTAAGAAAGCAACATTGGTCCAGTACTGGTCGCTAACCTCCAGGCTTCATTTGGATTTCATAGGTTTATCTGCTAACGTCCTTTCTTGGTTCTGAGGTCTATCCAAGATCCCAGAATGCATTTCATCATGGCGTCTTCTTATCCCCCTTTCTTCTGTGATGGTTTCGCAGCCTTGTTTTTCATGATCTTGACCATTTGAGAAGCACCAGGCAGGCGTTTTGCAGAACGTCCCTCGGTTTGGATTTTCCCTCCATTTTCCTCACGATTAGACTGGGATTATGGTTTTTGGCAGAAGGAGACCACAGATGAGAAGCGCCTTTCTCATCACAGGATCCCAGGAGTGCAGGGGGCCTACCCGAGTGCAGTCACTTCTAAGTCATCTAACATAAGCAACAATATCTAGGTAGAGTTTCTTTTCTTTGATTTTTGCACAATATAGCAGTTTTCTATCGCCGCTGTAACAAAATACCACAACCTAGTGGCTTAAAGCAACACGAGTTATTATCAGTTGGTCAGAAGCCCTACATGGGTTTCACTGTGTTGAAATTAAGTTCCTCCATGCGGGTTCGAGGGGGAAAATCCCTGTCCTTGTCTTCTCCAGCTTACAGCAGCTGCCCGAATTCCTTGGCTCCTGGCCCCTTAAACCGCGTACAAACCCAGCAATGACAGTTCAGCCTCACATGCTGCCTCTGGCCTTTTCCCATCAACATATCTCTTTCTAACCCAGCCAGGAAATGTTCTCCAATTTTAAGAACGAGTGTGATTAAATTGTGCCCACTTGGATAATTCTGGATAATCTCCCCTTTTCAAAGCCCATCCCTGTGATATTGTGATTTATAAGAAATATATTTCTGGAGGGACCTGGGTGGCTCAAGGTGGTTAAGTGTCAGACTTCGCCTCAGGTCATGATCTCATGAGTTTGAGCCCCACACCGGGCTCCACAATGACGGTGCCAAGTCAGCTTGGGACTCTCTCCCCCCCTCTCTCTCTCTGCCCATCCCCCTCCCCTCAAAATAAATAAATAAGCGTCAAATATAGATAAGTATAATACAATACAACACAAATATTATATAAATAAATAAATATATATATATTTCTGATCTTTGTTCTGGTTCCTGGCCTTTGGAATTGCCCAACAGTTGAGGGCCAGAAAGGTGTCTTTTGTTATGTTAACAAGGCCACTTTTAGAATGCGCCTAGGTCACTTAAGGAGTTGCCTGGTTGCCAGGGCAACCAACAAAGTGATTAGAGTTGGAACTTCCAGCCCCACCCAGTCACCTCAGGAAGGGGTGAGGGGCTAGAGATTGAGTTCAGTCACTAATGGCCAATGATTTAGTCAATCACGCCTGTGTAACGATGCTCCAAAACAAACAAACAAACAAAAAACACCCAAAAGGACAGGGTTCAGGGAGCTTTGGGGCTGGGTGAACACATGGAGGAGATTCTTGAAGAGTGGAGATTCCGGGAAGAGCGTTGCCCTCAGAGACTATTAGTAACTCCACCCCATTCTCCATCCCTTGCCTGTGCATCTCCTCCATCTGGCTGCCCCTGAGTTGTATCCTTTTATAATAAACTGATAATCTAGTAGATAAATTGTTTCTCTGACTCCTGTGCTCTGCTCTAGCAAATAAATCCAACCCAAGGAGGGGGTTGTGGGAAACTCTGATCTATAAATCAGAAGCACAGATGACAACGTCGAATTGCAATTGGCATGACCGGTGGGGAGACGGGAAGTCATGTGGGACTGAGCCCTTAACCTGTGGGATCTGATGCTGTCTCCCAGCAAGGTAGTGTCAGAATTGAGTCAATTGCTTGGTGGTGTGGGGGGAAAAACCCACATACATCAGAACTGATGGTAGAAGTGGATTACCCTTAATCACAAATGCAAAGTCCTTTTTGCTGTGCCAGCAAACACAGTTGCAGGTTCCAGGGACTGGGGTATCCATATCTTTGGGACCATTATTCTTATACCATAGAGTTCCTTGTGATGTATAGAAGTGATATTGTTTCCATTTAATGTAGCAATACTGATTTTCTTTTTAATGTAGATTTCCAATAAATGAGCAAACAAACAGAAACAGGCTCATAAATACAGAGAACAAACTGGTAGCTGTCAGAGGGGTGGGCGTGAGACAATAGGCAAAATAGGTGAAGGGAATTAAGACTTACAAACTCCCATTTATAAAATAGGGGCATCTGGCTGGCTCGGTTGGCAGAGCATGCAACTCTTTTTTTTTTTTTTTAATGTTTTATTTATTTCTAGGAGAGAGAGAGAGAGAGAGAGAGACAGCGTGAGCAGGGGAAGGTCAGAGAGAGAGGGAGTCACAGACTCTGAAACAGGCTCCAGGCCCTGAGCTGGCAGTCAGCACAGAGCCCGACGCGGGGCTCAAACCCATGAACCGTGAGATCATGACCTAAGCGAAAGTCGGACGCTTAACCAACTAAGCCACCCAGGCGCCCCAAATATGCAACTCTTGATCTCAGGATTGTGCATTTGAGCCCCATGTTGGGTGTAGAGATTACTTAAAAAATCAATTTTTAAAAAAGGTTTTATTTATTTAAGTAATCTCTACACCGAACATGGGGCTTGAATTTACGACCCTGAGATCAAGAGTCACACACTCTTCAGACTGAGCCAGCCAGGCACCTCTAAAAAAAAAATCTTTAATTAAAAAAAAAGAAAGGAAGTACAAAAAAGGATGAAAAGTACAGCATAGGGAATGTAGTTGATAATATTGAAATAGTTTTGTATGGTGACAGACGGACAGAGGGTAAGTACACTTACCGTGGCGAGCATTCCTCATATGTGTAAACGTCAAATCACTATGTCATAAGCTGAAACTAATATAATACTCTATGTCGAGGCACCTGGGGGGCTCAGTCAGTTAAGCGTCCAACTTAGACTCAGGTCATGATCTCACGGTTCATGGGTTTGAGCCCCGAGTGGGGCTCTGTGCTGACTGCCAGCTCAGGGCCTGGAGCCTGTTTCAGAGTCTGTGACTCCCTCTCTCTCTGACCTTCCCCTGCTCACGCTGTCTCTCTCTCTCTCTCTCTCTCTCCTAGAAATAAATAAAACATTAAANTCAAAAACAAACATTAAATATATATATATATATATATATATATATATATATATATAGTATGTCAACTATACTTCCCTTGAAAGTATATGTATACATATTTCAGTAAAAACAGTTGGTTTAACGGATGTTGTAGACCGAATGCGTCCTAATCCCTGGTGTGATGGTATTAGGAGGTGGAGCCTTTGGGAGGTGATTAGATCTAAGGAGGAAGCCCTCAGGATAGGATTAGTGTCCTGATAAAAGAGACCCCAGAGAATACTTCTGCCTTGTCCGCACTTGAAGCTTGAAGACATCGCGGGAGCGGGAGCGACAGCCATCTACGAACTGGTAAGTGAGTTCTCATCAAACACGGAATCTACAGACATCTTGATTTGGGCTTCCCAGCCTCCAAGATCGGAAGAAATACATGTTTCTTGTTTAACTCCCAACAGGCTAAGACAAAGGACGTGTAGGAAGTGGCTGGGGTTGAAAGAAATAAGTATCTGTTTGGTGGAAGAAGGCCTGCCTCCCAGCGACCCTACAGCAGGTCTGTTGACATAAGCCTGTGGCTCAAAGCGATCCCCCAGCTGCCCCAGGCCAGTTCCTGTAGCTCCTGGTGGAATTCACTTGGCAGATCCGGATCCGGTAAATATAAAAGGTCTGATCCTTGGGTGGGGAGCCTCATCCTGGAAGAAGCTGCTGAGAGTGCTCCTCCAGCCTGAGCTGTCCAAGGCTTTGTGGAAAGCAGCGATGAACCCTTCAGGAGACCCCAGCGCCCCAAAAGCCAGCCCCAAGGTCAGGGGCCTTGAGACAGGCGGGGAGACCAGTTCAGGTAAGAGGTGGCAGAGGGGCGTCAGCACTTTCCCAAGACCAGCCAAAGGGGGCTGGAGAGGGCAGAGACCCTTCCTGGAGCCGCCAGGATTCTCAAGCCACGGGTGGGCTTCTTTTATTCCCTGTATTAACAAATCTACCAGAATATAAGCTTCTTTCTGAGCCTGTGTTGTGATGAAAAGCACGTAGTTAAGAGAATGGATTTATTTGCTGTTTGGGTTACTCAAAAGTTAATTGTTTAAGAGTACAGGCTTTGTGGGGGCACCTGGGTGGCTCAGTAGGTGGAGCATACGGTTTGGGCTCAGGTCATGATCTCGCAGTTCGTGGGTTCGAGCCCTGCATGAGGCTCTGCTGACAGCTAGCTCAGAGCCTGGAGCCTGCTGCGGATTCTGTGTCTCCCTCTCTCTCTCTCTGACCCTCCCCGGCTCACGCTATCTCTATCTCTCTCTCAAAAATAAATAAAACATTAAAAAAAGAGTACAGGCTTTGGGGAGGGCGCCTGGGTGGCTCAGGCGGTTAAGCGTCCGACTTCAACTCAGGTCATGATCTTGTAGTTTATGAGTTCAAGCCATGCTGTCAGGCTCTGTGCTGACAGCTCAGAGCCTGGAGCCTGCTTCAGATTCTGTGTCTCCTCTCTCTGCCCCTCCCCTGCTCTCTCTCTGTTTTACTTCTGAGGGAGAGAGAGACAACATGAGTGGAGGAGGGACAGAAAGGGAGACAGAATCCGAAGCAGGCTCCAGGCTCTGAGATGTCAGCACAGAGCCGGACATGGGGCTCGAACTCACAAGCCGCAAGGGATCGTGACCCCAGCCGATCGCTTAACCAACTGAGCCACCCAGATGCCCCCCTCCCACAATAATGTTTTTTTAATGCAGAGCCTCATCCCTCCCACCCCTCCTCCAGTGCACCAGAGTCTGCATGTTAACGAGCCACCCGTGCAGCTCCTGTGCAGTCTGGGAGCTCTGATGTAATGGACTCTGCTCCAGAAAGCAGATGGCTGGTAGGGGGAAGCCAGGATTTAATCTCAGGTCTCCCTGAGGCTGGACCCACGCTTTTAGACTCCACTCTCCTTCCTGTCTTCCTGTGTCAACCAACCCTTTAAGGGAAGGGTAGTTAAACCCCTTAAGGGCGGGCACCAGCCTGGAAACCACACTTCACTGCTAACAGACCTTTGGTCTTTTCCCTCCTTCTAGGTGGGAAGCCGGGCTGCCATCAGAAGGCCATCCCCCCTGCTCACCTAACTTTCGTCATCGACTGTGCTCGTGGCAGACAGATCTCCCTGATGGCACCCCCAGTGCTGCCCCGAGCCCCCAGTTCTAACCCAGGAACTGTCACCCCACCAATGAAGACGTATATCTTGTTCTGTGGAGAAAACCGGCCGCACCCGACTCAGAAGGCCCCCCTGGGTAGGGGACACCTTGCCCAGGCCACGGGGACTGTGCCACCCTGTGAAGGGACCGGGGCCTCAGCTTCCTCTCCAGTCAATCCACTGGGCCCCCAGGAGGCTCCCGAAGCCAAGGGGAGCCCCTTGAAGTCTGTGCCCTCAAGGTCTTCAGCTTGGGGAACTGTTATAGGCTCGCTCAAAGCCCTCTCCTCCTGTGTCTGTGGGCAGGCGGATTAACCAGAAGAGCCCGGCCATGGGGTTGTTGGCACACCAGGCTCGAGGGCTCGGGGACTGCAATTCCCAGAACCCAACGCCTCTTCCCAGCCAAGCAGAAGTCTCTTGTGCCTGAGCCAAGGAAGGGCCTCGATCGCTAAAAGACATCTGAAACAGCCACCGAGGATGCTAGGTGGTACACTCAAGGGTATTCCGCCTTCCTCCTTTCTCTCTTTGTGAGCCTTTGAGCAGAAGCAGGATCAAGGCACCTCCACCTGGAAAGAGACCAGTTCATTCATACGGCAAATTCTAATGCAGCACCTTCCGCTTCAGGCTCTGCAAAGTGCCAGGGAAGTGCTGGCTTTCTTGGAGTTCTTGCTTGGGCGGTGGGCGGGGGTGAGGGAAAGAGCTAAATATGTAACCAAATAAAGATGAATTTGAATAGCGATGAACTGAGTGCTGTGTAGGAAGGGAAGTGGGGTGCTGGGATGGGAAGTAATTGGGGCAAAGAGCTTTTCTGATACGGTGGGTGGCAAAGCCCTCTAACAAAGTGTGATCTAAAAGATGAGAAGGTGGGGCACCCGGGTGGCTCAGTCTTAAGTGCCCGACTTTGGCTCAGGTCATGATCTCGCGGTCCGATAGTTGGAGCCCCACGTCCAGCTCTGTGCTGACAGCTCGGAGCCTGGAGCCTGCTTGGGATTCTGTGTCTCCCTCTCTCTGCCCCTCCCCCACTCACACTGTCTCTCTCTCTCTCTCTCTCTCTCTCTCTCAAAAAGATGAGCCAGCACTGTGAAAATCCATGCTTCCGGCGCCACCTGGCTGACTTCTGACCCCAGGGCTGGTCAGTGGGGGGTGGGGCGGGGGGGGATGGATGGGTGCGACAGATGGGGGGAAACTTCCAGGAAATCCGAACTGGGAAATAAGGGAAACTGCTTCTCAAGAGGGGGCAGAAGGGGCTCAGAAAGGTGACGGAGTATCACATCTGAGCAGACAAATAGGAGCGACTACTTAGCAGCCACTGCTACCAGCCTCAGGTGCCCCTGACCATACAAGGGATGGGGTGGTCCCTGCCTCCCCAGGCAGCCATGTTACCCAGCAGGAAGTGGGGTCACTGGAGGCGGGTGCGGGTGTGTGTAGGTCTTAAGAGGCACCGCTATGTGAAATGCTAAATCAGCTCATCTGAGGAAGTGTGTCTCAAAGCTTTCTGATTAAAATGGCTGAATGTCCATTTAGATACTCAATGACTATTTTACCAGTTTCCTACAAACACATGCATTGGCCGTTTGCTCTAGGCCAGGGCACCAGCCTCCTTGCAGAGCCGGCATGAGAAGGCACAGATTAGGGAGGTGAGGTCCAAAATGCTGAGGCCTCACAGACTGGTGAAGTTGGAATTAGAATCCAGGCAAGCCTCGTGTCCAGGTTGCTCCTAACCAGAGGGCTGATGGCCTCTCATCCCAGAAGAATCTCTCCCAGGCAGAAGGGATCCATAGAGAACAGACATAACTCAGTCTTCCAGAAGCTCACAGCCTGGTGGGAAGCCAAGAAAGGAAGTGACAACGACTTACTTCTGATACGTGCAGCAGTAAGAGTATACAGGATAATGCTGGGGCTGGAGGAGGGTGACCAGTCCATTTTGGGGAGAGGAGATCAGGGAGGGCTTCCTGCAGGAAGTGATGTCTAGACTAAGATTTGACTAGTGAGTGAATCACACAAAGGCAAGGGACCCGGGATGGGGAGGGTTCCAGGAAAAGGGACCAGAGTCATTCGGTCTGGCTGGAGTATTCATGCGGGCCAAGCATTTATTGGGCACCCACTGTGTGCCTGGCTCTGGGCTAGACCCCGCGCTGGAGCAGAGGTAGGACAGATGAGGCCCCGCCCGGGAGGAGCGGATTCTCCAGTCAGGCAGAAGATGAGTGCGTGTGTACACAAAACAGTTGCCAGAGAAGTGGCAGGGGCCACATCACATCACGTGAGGCCATGTGGGCCTCGATGAGGCCTTTAGGTTTTATTCTGAGATAGGTTCCACTGGAAATTGTAAGCAGTGACACGCCCGGACCTACCTTTTTTTTTTTTTTTTAATGTTTTACTTATTTCTAGGAGAGAGAGAGACAGTGTGAGCAGGGGAGGGTCAGAGAGAGAGGGAGTCACAGACTGAAACAGGCTCCAGGCTGGCAGTCAGCACACAGCCCGACGCGGGGCTCGAACCCACCAACCGCAAGATCATGACCTAAGCGAAAGTCGGACGCTCAACCTACTAAGCCACCCAGGCGCCCCCATCCCCCAATTCTTAAGAGGAACCACTGGCAAATTGCTTAGATTCAGAGGAGATAAATAGGACACAAGAATCAGCTATACTTGCAGGCTCTGCAGCCATAGCAACAACCTTGGCAAGCCCTCCACACAGAGAGCAACAAGCNGGCTGGCAGTCAGCACACAGCCCGACGCGGGGCTCGAACCCATGAACCGCGAGATCATGACCTAAGCGAAAGTCAGATGCTGAACCGACTAAGCCACCCAGGCACCCCTGCCCAGACCTACCTTTAAAAAAATATAGAGCATGTTGACTGTTCTGTGTTTTTTTTTTTTTTTTTTTTTTAAGTTTATTTATGTAAGTAATCCCTACACCCATCCTGGGGCTTGAACTCAGCACCCCAGGACCAAGAGTCACAGACTTCCGACTGAGCCCCCTAGGTGCCCTGAGAATGCAACTCTTGATCTCAGGGTCCTGAGTTCAAGCCTCATGTTGGGCATCAGATATTGAATTTACTTAAAAAAAAAAAAAAAAGTTTCTCTAGCTTTTGTGCTGGGACCAGAAGGTAGGGAAGCTTTGGAGGCTGTGCCCTAATCTAGGCAAAGGGGGGTGACGACTTAGACTAGAGAGGTGACAGAGTAATGAGGACGACATATACCCTTCCTCTCTCCTCCCCTGGTGGAGAATCACTGAATTAGAAGAGCCCAAAGAAATGGCTGCTGTGGCTGCACATCCCACTTTGGAACAGCAGGTGTCGCCCTTGCATCAGACTGGAGGACACCACATCCGGTCCTGGCCATGGGGCCACCTAGCGGGGTCCATGTTTTCAGAAGCCAAACCTTCATTCTGCCCAACACCTGCTTTGTCCCGATGACTATATGGGTGTATATATTTTAAGTTTATTTTTTTTAGTAATCTCTACACTCAATGTGGAGCTCGAACTCACAACCCTGAGATCTAGGGTCACAAGCTCTTCTGACTGAGCCAGCCAGGAGACCCATGACTCTGTACATTTTTATATGTATCACACAGTACCTCTGTGAGAGGTGGATATGACTTTTATTGCCATTTTACAGATGCGGAAAGAGGCAGAGCCCAAATGCAAACCCCAGGAAGTGTGACTATAAGCCACGGCATCATGACACTGAGCCATGTGGCTGGCACTGTGTTCACATTTGTTCCATGAACAAACAGTTTTATGAGGACCCAGCCTGGTGGCTGGCAGTGTGTGGGACTGAGCAGGTGAGCAGGGCCCTCTCTGGGATGGAACACACCGGTGGAGGAGGGGAGCAGCTCAGTCCGTCTCTCCACCCACAATCCTGTGCAGCATTATCCCATTTGATAGATCAGGAAACTGAGGCTCAGGTAGGTTAAGCAACTGACCCGAGGTCACACAGCTGGCAAGTGGCAGAGCCAGGGCTGAAATTAAGGTAGTTTGGCCTCAGAGCTTTGCCTACCGACCACACTGTAGGAGCTTAGCGAGACTCTGTGGACGGAATGAATCCATGAATAAATGAAAGCCTTTACTGAGCCAGTGGGTGAGTTAAAGTGTGAGAAAGTGCGTGTGTTTCCAGGTTGGCAGCCATGCTTAGCACTGTGTCCTCAGCGCCTTCAAGGGTGTGTATATAACAGGTGGTGGTCAAGAATTGTGTGAGAAGGGGACGCCCAGGGGGCTTGATCGGTTGATCATCCAACTCTTGATTTGGTGGGTTCGAGCCCCGTATTGGGCTCTGCACTGATAGTGTAAAGCCTGCTGGTGGATTTTCTCTCTGTCTCTGCCCCTACTCCACTCACACTTGGTCTCTCTCTCAGAATAAATAAAATAAACTTAAAAAAATAAAAAGAATTGTCTGAGAAGGAGGGGAGGGAGGAAGGGAGATGCAGATTTGCAGTCCTGCGGCCCCTCCCTCCTCTTGGGCTCCCCAGGGCCTGCCGCCCTGTCTAGTAGCCCCCAGACTCCTATGAAAAATTGTCCCTGTGTCCAGGCCTTGGAGGGAGGGCCTCAGAGCTGGGGACTGGCCCAGCTGGCCGGTGAGAGTGAGCCGCGGGCCAGCTGTGCGGTAGCCCAGCTGTGTTGACTGTAAACACGGCTCCCGGCCCAGAGGCTCCTCCCTTGGCCCCCAGTCCTGCTGGTTCTCAAGTCACCGGCTCAGGACCCTCTGTTATTGGAGCGCAGAGCCGGGTGGGCAGAGCCTTGCCTTTTGTTATTCAGAAAACAAGCACAATTTTAACCAGAGCTTACCATTTATTAAGCTTATAGGAAAACACCGTCTCTCTCCAGCGGGTTCATCATAGCAGCCCAGGAGGGTGGTGCCTGGTCTGTATTCACAGGATGAGGAAGCGAAGGCTTTCAGAGGCTTCTTCTGGCCACCTCCACCCCCAGGGCCCAGAGAGGGTCTTCTGCGAGAACCAAGGAACCTCTTAGCTCTGCCCTTACCTGCTTTTCATGGGCAGAAGGCTGCTGTCCGGAAACCCCTCTGAACCCCTGGCTTCAGTCATGATCTCGATGGAGCCAGAGTGTGGGTGAAGCTGGGGAGGCCGGGAGCCAAATCTGAATGCAGTAACAGTAGCTGAGCCCCTCCCGGGGATTTTCAGTGCATGGCACCCACGAGCTACCACATGGTGGCCTTTACAACGCATTACAAAACAGCCCTAGCGGGGCGCCTGGGTGCCTCAGTCCCTTTCAACGCTTGGTTTCAGCTCAGGTCATGATCTCCTGGTTCTGAGCTCTGAGCCCCCTGTCGCCTCTGCAGTTAACTCTCAGCCTGCTTGGGATTCTCTCTCCTTCTCTCTCTGCTCCTCTCCCACTCAGGTTCGCTATCTCTGTTTCTCTCAAAATAAATAAACTAAAAAAAATAAAGGAAAGAAAAGAAAAAAACACTCTAGCAAGTAGATTCTATGAGCACCACCTACAGATGGGGCAACTGAGGCACAGAGAGACTATGTGACTTCCTCAGGGTCACACAGCTCAGAAGGAGCAGAGCCAAGATTTGAACCCAGGTGGGGTAGCTCCAGGCTGCAACGGACCCTCCACTATTTACTGAGGATCCTTAGCTTTTTAAAAACACCTTACAGGGGCGCCTGGGTGGCTCAGTCGGTTAAGCGCCCGACTTTGGCTCAGGTCATGATCTCACGGTTCGTGGGTTCGAGCCCCACGTCGGGCTCTGTGCTGACAGCTCAGAGCCTGGAGCCTGTTTCGGATTCTGTGTCTCCCTCTCTCTCTGCCCCTCCCCTGCTCACACTGTGTCTCTCTCTGTCTCTCAGAAATAAATAAAAACATTTAAAAATTTAATAAAACACACTACCAACACGTGCTTGGCTCCTTTCTCATGCCAAGGTTGGAAACAACAGAGCGAAGTGAGGCATCTTCTCCTTTTGCAGAGCTCAGATAGAAGGGGAGGGACAATGTGGGAGGCAGGAGTTATGTCTGGGCCAGGGAGAGGGGGCCCCGGGCATGAAGGGGTTGGTCTGGAAGAGATGCCCTGGCCTGAGGTCCTGGAGGCCTCGGTGTTCATCTCACCTCAGCCACTGACTTCTGTGTGACCCTGGGCGAGGCTCCAGCCCTTCCTGGGCCGAGGCTCCCCACCACACCAAGAGAGGTGTGGAGTGACTCCCTAAGGGCACAGAGCAGGCCAGCCCCGTGGGTCTGCCCTCACCCTCAGGCAAGTCTGAACACAAAGTTTGGCCCTCGGGTTCTTTGGGCTCTGTCTATACCCCTAACTGGTAGCTCTAGAAGGCTTTCTGGAGGAGGCAGCTTTGAGCCCAAAAGTGAGGGAAACTTCTAGGTCCCTGGCACTACCTGACCTGGGCTTCTCACGGGTCCCCAGCCGGGGAAAGTCTGTATCTTTTCAACTCCCCCTGCCCTCCTACCCAGGCCGACTCCAAAAACTATAGATGTACAATTTTGCGTTTCCTGTGCAGGGTGTCAGAATAAGGGGCAGGGGAGCTGACCTGCCCCTCCCCCTCGGGTGGTGGTTGGGGGCTGGGGCCGGGAGAGGAACTGTTTGGGGCTTTCTAGAGCCATAGACAAGGATTCAAATCTCAGCCAAGCCACTTCCAAGCTGGGTGACCTTGGGCCAGTTCCTTGACCTCTCTGAACCTCCTTGGTACCTACTTTGCAGGATGGTCATGAGGATGAGCAGAAGGCTTGGCACACACTAGGCGCTCAATGAATGGGGCTGCTAAAATTATTCTTCACAGGGTGGGGGTGGGGCGCAGGGCCTGCAGCCAGGCTTATATTTAGCCTGGAAAGGGTGGGGGTTCAGGAAGCAGTATGCAGACAAGACTAGAAATATCTGAAGACTTGAGAAGGCAGGCACCTCAATAAAGGTGAAAATTACATTGTGACCACAGGGTGGGGGTGGGGCGCAGGGCCTGCAGCCAGGCTTATATTTAGCCTGGAAAGGGTGGGGGGCCGGGGAGACAAAGCGCTGTGGCCAGCCCAGGCGCCCAGGGGGCGGAGCCGATGAAAGAGGGACTGTGGTCCCCATCTCCCCGCCCTCCTCTTCCACGGGGTCACCTTGGTGGGAGGCCTGTCTCAGACAGTCTCTACAGTGTCCCCTGCAAAATCTGCATCTCCGAAGAAGTCTGGGGAGGGGGCTGCTGGGGCCGGGGGCGGGGGCTGGGGCCGGGGGCGGGGGGGGGGGGGGGGGGGCGTAGGGGTGGAGGTGTTATTCGGCCCCTACCGGCCACTTCCGGAGAAGCTGCCCCCTTTTTTCCAGCCGGGGCTGCCAGCGGCCCAGGCCCCACCCCCTTCGCGCGACCCTGGGAGGGGCATCGCCGGGTCGGGAAGCCAAGGTGAGCCTGACCCTGGGCAGGGGTCGAGGGAGACTGGGACGCTGGCCCGGCTCCACCCCCAACTCCCGCGCAGATGCAGATGAGTTTCGGGGCTGCAAATAGCCCAGTGGAATCAGTGAGTCACGGAGGCTGGAAATACCGTGCCCCCTCTCCTCCTCCCCTCCGCCCGCCCGCAGCCGGAGCTGCACCGGGGACCGCCTGGCACTCGGGTTTCAGTGGCCGCCTGGGGGTGTTGGGGGTGGCGTGGGGTCCCTCCAGAGAGCACGCGGACTCCCCGAACCAGCCAGCGCTCCAGCCAGGTTCCAGCCCTGCTGGGGGCCCTGGCTCCGTGCGACCCTGAGCCCAGTCACTCAGCCAGTCTGGTCCCTAGAGCCCATGTGACACCAGATGGGCTTCAAGAGGGCAGGTGACGCAGTGCGGCTGGCCCAGCCGTGGTGTCCCTGTGCCTGGGACAGGGCTCAGCGTGCAGCAGCAGGGGCAGTCACTGCACGGTTTTTCAGGGCAGTAATTCTGGGATTCCTGCTCAGGTGGGTCCGGGAGCTGAGGCAGGAGACCCCAGGACCCACGTTTCTGTGAGGTCCTGGAGATTCACGTAAGCTGCCACCCCTGTCCCCAAACCTCAAGGAAGTCAAGTCTGTCAATCCCGGGGTTTCTCCCCTGGCTGCCTCCAGCCCATCCCAAGTTTGAGAACTTCAGGCAGGTGATCTTTGGAAGTCTGTGATTCTGTTGTTTATTATGTGTGCAGGGTACAATGCCAGGGTCCTCCCATGCCCCCTCCCACCCCCCAGCCGTCCCTTAAGGGCCCCAGAATGGCAGGGGTGAGAGGCCATCCTAGAGAAAGAACACTGACCCAAGAGGTGCAGAAGGCAGAAGCTGGCCCTGCCTCTTGCTCTAGGGGGTCTCGACTACTGTGAACACCCTCTTTCCCCCACCCCTGCATCTGTATGTTAGAGACTGAGCCAGGGTCACTGCAGGTATCTGGGGCTCCCCAGGATGAAGGCTGACTGGGGGTCCCTGCCCTGGACTGGAGAACAGGAGGGAACAGGGCTGGGGGCTCTTCGCATGGTCTGGACCCTCTGTCTAACAAGAAGATCCCAGCAGGTCGTCATTGGCCATGAGGGACAAAATGAGGGGACTACTCCCCAGTGCACAGAGGGGTCAGGGGTCAGGCGGTTTGAGAGCAGCTTTCACAGCCTGGGTTCAAATCCAACCTTTAATGAGTAAGCTGGGCATTCAGCCACTCAGAGACTCAGTTTCCCCATTGATAAAAATAGAGATGTAAAATCTGATTGTAGAATGTTCTGAATTCAGCCTCAACCAGTGGTCATGCTTAGTAGTTGAAGGACAGGACGATAGGTGAGCGCGTGTGCACCTGTGTGTGTGGTATACACACACCAGGCCGTGTAGATTCATCCACTGAAGAGGTGGGGGAGGTGACTGGCCCCGGGGGAAGGTTGGCAGAAGCCGGGGTCCAGCCTTGAAGACCCAAGGCCCCATCCTTGTTCTCTCTATCACCTCAGCTGGGTGACCTGTCTGTGGGGGCAGCCCGGGAGCCCGGGTCTCCGGGTGGAAGGAGGGACCAGCCCCACCCGTCTGCCAGGCCTTGCCTGAGGGCACGGCAGGTGCCGGGGGCAGCAGTGTTGCACTTTATCACGAACCCACTGCATCGGAAAAACCCCATCTATGTACAGATGTCACGTGGCCCTGCCCTGGTGTGGCAGGTGGGGCACCAGGTAGCAGGCAGCCTGGCAGCTGGTTTGGGGCTCGGGGAAGGGCAGAGGAGAGGGTCCCCACCATGGCTGCCCCCCATGGCCCCCCTGTGCCGTCCAGCTGGATCAGCACCTCCGCTGATATCTGCCTCTGCCTCACCCCCTCGCCTTGGCCAAGGGGGTCCCGGGTCCCTGTTCCCCCGCAGAGACTCCTCAGATCAAAGGAGTTGTCCATCTGTCTGTCCTGCAGATTATTGGCCCAGAGCTCCTGCCTGTCCCAGACCCCTTCCCCAAAGTGGGTTCTTTGGGCTCTCCCTTTCCAATCGCAATCCCTTTATTCTGAATTAAGTGAATGAGGCCACATCTGGAATCTGGGGGCCACAGGTGAGGCAGAAGGCCTCAGTTGGGGGGGGTGACCCACCTGGGGTCTGATGGTGTCGGGGCCTGGAACTCGAGCTGAGATGTCCTGCAAGGTGTCATAAGGGGTGAGGAAAACGTCTCTGGCAGGCCAGAGGGGAGAAGGGGAGAAGGGGGCGGGGAGGAGGAGGCCCTCAGATTTTTATCTCTGTCCGGAAGGTCTGCTGGACGTGCTCCGTGTGTGGGTGACGCCGGGCCCGGATGGTGAGGCTGCCGTCCTCCCTCAGGGCCGAGGTCACTGAAGTGGGGTCCACGTCCTCGGGCAGCTGGCACTTGTGAGCGAAGGTGTTCATGACTGTGCCATCGGCTGCCAGCTAGGAAGGGGTGATGGGTCAGGGCAGGATCCCCCCGCCCCCGCCCCCATCCTGCTCCCATCAAGTCGTCTTCATCTCACCCCAGCCAGGTGCCAACATGCCAAGGGGTCCTACTCTCGGGAGCAGAGGGGTGGCCAGGGTGGCGGTGGCTGAGGGCTATGCAGGGGCAGCTTAGAGAGGGAGGAGCTCGGTGGCAGAATCCGGAGCTCCTGGGCGGCAAAGAGGAGACCACACACAGCACGGCCGTGCCCTCTGGGATGCCCAGACACACTGGGCGTCCACTGCCCGGGCTGGGCAGCCCGCCCCCGTGACTCGGCCAGCACATCGTGTCCAGGGGAGTCTGGGGTGGCTGAGTCACTGGGGGGAGGGGCAGGACTGGCACGTGCTGCCCTCTGGTCCTGGTGCCCGCAGCCCTCAGCTTCCCTGGCAGAGGTGCCGGGGCATTTAGCCTCCCCTGCTGGGGAGAGGACGCCAGGCCATGGGGGACCTAGAGGCAGCCTGGGGCAGGCCCTCTCTGATGGGCGGTTGTGGCTGCGGCCGTCTGGGGGCAGGGCTCTTGGTCAGGCTGGGCCACACCCTCCACCAGGGTGTCGGCCTCCTGGGAGCTGGGACTCAGAGACCCTAGTGACCCAGTGCCCCTGAGGCCCATGGGCAGAGGGAGCATGGGGTGGGTCCCGAGCGTGTCTGACCCTGAACAGCAGGGCCTCTGCCCAGCCTTGGGTCTAGTTCAAGGATCCCAGGATGGGGCGTGAACCGCGGGGTAGGGGCGGGCCGAGGGGCTTGAGGGGTGTCACGTGGGGGAAGTCCTTCCCGCCGGCTTCCCAGGTGAGCCCCCTGCCTACCCACATGCCCGCCAGAAAAGCTGTCCCCACTCAGCCACTGTCTCCATCCTCTGGGCACCCCCTCACCTCACCTCCTTGGGGGCCCCCGCCTGCATCCCTCCACCCCTCTCCCATTCCCGTGTGGCTCCCTCAGCTGTCCTTGGCTCCTAAAGACAGGACCTCAGAGCCTTGGGGCAGGGAGAGGCAGAGGCTGGGGTCCCGTGGCGCACACGTAATAGAACAAGGCCTCCAGGTTCCCCTGGGAGGTTCGGGGCAGGGGCCCTGGGCAGGGTCTGGGGTCCTGGCATGGAGCCTGGGGTACAGAGGGCGCAGACGGGGAGCCGGGCTCCAGGCGGCGTGGCCAGGCTCACCTTCTCAGCCCGCACCTCGATGTGGTTGTTGGAGGTGGTGACAATGATGTCCTCAGGTGAGAAGTCACTCACGTCCACTGCAAACTCATAGGCGTCCCCGAGAGTCTTGATGTTGCCCGGCCCCCCGGGACAGGCTGTGAGGGAGGCTGCTGTGAGCTGAGCTGCGGGCAGAACTGCATCTAGAACCCGGGTCTCTGGGGGAAAGGGGCAGGGCCCCCCAGGCCTCACCTCCCTCTCAGCCGTTGCCCCTAACCCTCTGCCCACCTCTCCTCACCTCTCGCAGCCCCCCTTCTCCGCAGCAGGGCCGGGCCTCGCCCCACACAGGTGGCATAAGTATGTGCATGTGACCCTGCCTGTGGCAGCCCAGCGCTGGCCTGGTGGCTGGGGGATGCCTCCCACCCCTCAACCCCATCCTGTCCCCTGCGGCTCCGGCGAGGACCTGGCCGCGGCTGTGTGTGGCCGTTGGCATCTTCGCTGACCCCCGGGGCCACGACTGTTGCCTGGAGCCCAGCCTGCTCTCCTGGCCACATCTGTCTCTGCGGCCACATCTGTCCTGGTGGCCACACGTGGCTACGGTTGCAGAGCTCCTGTGCATGGCGGCTCAGGGACTGTCTCCAGAGCTGCCCCGGAGCAGGTGCCCCCACCTGTGCGTCGCCCCTCCCCTCGGAGCCCTGACAACTTGCCTGGGAAGGCCCGGGGCTCAGTGTGGGGCCTCATGAAGCTGCCAAAATCCTCGGAAAACATGCTCAAGGCTTTCTCCATGGGCGGGTCCTGGGCCGGGAGGGCGCGGGAGGCTGAGGAGGACGAGGCTGAGGAGGACGAGGAGGAATGGAAGCTTCTCTCCTCTCTGAAGGTGGAGGAGGTCCTGTGGCTCATCCACGGCGGGCGGCCGGGCCCTGGCCAGGCGGGCAGGGGGACAGGAGAGGGTGTGGGCTCTGGGGGAGCGTGCCGGGCCCCGATTGCCGGCGCTTTATAAGGCCCGGCCGTCCCTGGGCTTGGGGCCAGCCCCTTGTCTCCTAGCTAAATTTAGGCCTTGCCACGGCCCGGAGGGGGCTGGAAATCTTCTCCGGTGAGGCGGCGCTGCTGACAGTCTAGCACACGCAGGCCTGGGCTGAGCTCACAGCGCAGCATTCCAGGCCGATAACTCCAGCCCGGGGGCCTCTGCAGCAGCGGGCCGGGGGCAGTCTGTCCCCTCGCCATCCGGACCCCCGTGTCCACCCCAGGACCGTGTGTGTGTGGGGGGGGGGCGGTTCTATGTCGCTGTGTCCCCCATCAGCCTGGAGTTCTCTAAGGACTGTGTCTCCCCCATCAGATTGCAAGCTTCTTGAGGACAGGGTTTTCTGTTTCCTGTCCCCCTCCCCCAATGTCCCAGTCTTTGGCAAGAAGGGATCTAGGTGGTGGCCCAGCAGGGCAGTGGGGCCCCAAGCCCCTGGCTCTGGGGAGAGTGAAGGAGAGTGGGGAGAGTGAAGGTGGGGGTGGGTGAAGGGCGCCCACCTGTCAGACCCTTGTGTGAGGTGACTCCCTCAGGGCAGATAACATTTACGTCCATCTCTTAGGAAAGACTGAGACAGCCTTTGGTTGGGGGGGGGGGGAGTAGAATGTGCAGCTGTCCCCCTGCCCGCTCCCATGGGGACCCAGATTCCAATGCTCGCCCTCCCCCTACTCAGAACATTTTGGGGCCCCAAGAGGAGAAAGCTGGCGGTCCTTGGCTGGGGTGGGGGGTTTGGGCTAGGACTCAGGGGAGGAGGGCAGATTCGTTTGGTAATTGTCCTTAAAGATTGAGAAGGTTGGGGCCCCTGCTTCTTGAAGTCAGTGAAGCGTCTGACTCTTGATCTCAGCTCAGGTCTTGACCTCAGGGTGGTGAGTTCAAGCCCCATTTCAGGCTTCATGCTGGACGAAGCCTTGCTTTAAAAAAAAAAAAAAAAAAAAAAAGTTCTACAATGTTGTGTTCCAGGAACCATCTACTTGACCTCCAGCTCAACGGAGATGCTGAGGACTGTGGTGGGCGGGGCTTGTTAGAGGTAAAGGAGAATTCCAGAAGACATTATTCTAGCTCTGACTTCTGGAGCGCCTCCAGGCTGCGAGCTTTCCAGCACGGCCCCATTTGATCTCCACACAGCTCAGGAAAGAGATGCTGTTCCCATTTTATAGGCGGGGAAGTGGAGCCTCATGGAGAAGGCGGGGCTTGCGCATGGGTCAAGTGGCAGAGCTGGCCAGGTGGGTCTGATTCAAAGCCCTCTAGGGAGCTGGGGTGACCTGACCGTATGTGTACAGAGACAGGCTGGCCCAGAAGCCCCAGAAACCCCTCTCTGGCCACCCACAGCTCAGCAGAGCCAGGACTGACATCGTGCAAGGCCAGTAGGTGAGGGAGGAGAGGCCGTTCTGGGTGGTGGGCACCGCCCAGGCTACAGCGTGTGGTCTCTGTTCTTTTCTCCAGATCCTACCTTTCTTGCCCAGACCAGCTCTGATTCCTCCTCCCCCATGGAGGCCTCTGTGATTGCTGCAGCCACACAGGGGCCCCTGCCCCAGATGCCCACCCCAGCACCTGGCACTGTGACCAGGTCTTCCTGGGGCTGTGACTTCTCTGCAGCGTCTTCGTTCCCCCATCAGACTGGTGGTTCCCCTGGTGCAGGGGTCTCCTGTCTCCCCATCAGAGTGGGGGCTTCTGAAGGTGGAGACTGTTTCTTTGCTTTGGCTCTCATAGAACATCATCCGTGGGGAGCTCCATCTACGGGGAGTTATAGTGCTGGTGGTCTGTGGAGTAGGGGCAGCTTAGGGTGCAGGGTGTAGCTGGGAGCCAAGTGGTGGCTGGGGTAAGAGGGGTCTGTCATTGCAGTGGAGATCACTGCTGGGCCCCTGTCACCCATCCTGTCTGAGGGGTTCCAGCAGAGCTGCCAGGAAGTTACCAGCAGGGGCGGGGGTGGGGGGCCCAGAAGCCTGCCGCCCGCTGGGGAAACAGGAGCCAGTGGCTAAATGCAGACATACTGTCACGGTGCTGAGGGCCTGAGTCACTGCTCCTGGACCTCAGATCTCATTACCCACCCCCGCCCACCCTTCCCCCTATCTCTGAGGCATTGCCCATAAATGTACTGCATCTACTGACTTCAGGGGCCAGGAGGGACCTCAAAAGGTCATCAAGGCCATTCCCCTGTCTCTGGGAATGCTCTCCCTCCAGATCACAGGGATAGAAGGAACTTCAGAGATGATCCATTGCCCCGAATCCCAAACCTACCGGCGCATCCCAATCATCTGGGGAAACGTTTGACAAACACAGGCGCTTCCCTCTGTATGCCAAGATTCTGATTCGGGGCCTTGGGAAGGGACCAGGACTCTGTTCCCATTGGCTTCTCACACAGCCAGCCGGCAGGCCAGTGTTTGGAAACCATTCAACACTCAGCAGATATTTATTGAACACCTACTACATGGGGGGCACCATTCTAGGCTCTGGGGGACTCATGATGGATGGAGGCAGAGATAGGCCCCTGCGTCCATGACTCCTCATGGGGCAGGACACCGAGGCTCCGAGTGGTGAGGGACCCATCGGGGTGGCAGAGCTGTTCTGGCTCCCAGCCTGCTCTTACCCCCCGCTGCTGGGGCTTGATGCAGGAAAATGCCTTTGGGAGGGGCTTTGGTGCCCTTTTTGCAGCTTCCTGGTGCTCCCAGGGCTGGGAGGTGAGGCTGGCCAGCCAGTGCTGGCTGTGGGGTTGTAGCCTATTCAGCAGGGCGGCCAGTTATGCTGTTACAGTACACAGTCAACAGTTTGTGGCGACAGTGGGTCCAGGTTCACGCAGAGCAACGAGCCCACACCCCACCTCCCACAACACACACACGCGCTCCTATTTGGGATGGACTTGGCCGGGCATCTAGGGGCAGAGAGTGGCTCAGGATGCCAGGATTTTAACAAGTCATTAAAGGGCCGTGATGCTTTTCACAGAGGAGTTTTATCTGGAGGAGGGAGGGAAGGCGTTACCCCAAATCAATTGCCCACATCTTTCCCAAAGTGGCATCAGACCCAAATCCTCTGCTTTGTGCCCAAACCCTTGCCCTGACTGATTAAAGCCACAGGGATTGGAGGAGCTCTTGGGAGAGGGAAAGCCAGACAGTCTAGGGCTGGGTTCAGCCTCTGCTGTGTGAATTTATTTATTTATTTAAATGTTTTATTTATTTCTGAGAGAGAGAAAGAGAGAGAGCGTGAGCAGGGGAGGGTCAGAGAGGGAGACACAGAATCAGAAGCAGGCTCCAGGCTCTGAGCTGTCAGCCCAGAGCCCAACGCAGGGCTCGAACCCACGAACCATGAGATCATGACCTGAGCCAAAGTCAGACGCTTAACCGACTGAGCCCCCAAGGTGCCCCTGCTGTGTGACTTTAGATACGTGTCTACACCTCTCTGATCCTCGATCGTCCGCTAAATGGTGATACTGTCCTTGACTCACAAGGGCGTGGGAGGATGAACAGTGTTGCAAACGTGAAGGTCCTGACATGTGGCGGGCACATAACCTCACCGTGTCCCTCATGCCCTCACTCCTACTCTCTGCTGGGGTGGGACCGTCTGTGGCTTTCACTTAGCATTATAATTTGAGACGGCTGTTTTCTGAGACCAGAAGGGCCGGATATGAGGATCAAGTGCAAGTTCCTTTCCAGGCCTCGGGGGTCTGTGGTGCCCCAACTCGCTGCCCGTGCTCCAGTTTGTTAAGTCTCCCCCACAACCCCCGATCTCTGAGCAAGGTGGACAGTGGAGCAGCGTGCAGGCTTTGGAGTTTGACAACGTGGTTGGAAATTCTGGCTCTGCCCTCCGTCTTTGTGACCTTGGACAAGGAGCATCACCCCTCAGAGACTCCAATGTCTTTAAAATCCACAGATTTGGGGGAGGGTTGAGCACAGAGCCCCGCACACAACCAGGGTGCAGGAGCAATGCAGCCCCTTGTCTTTGCCCAAGATCTTCCTCCACCGCCACTGGCTTTCTCCCCTCTCCCTTCTCTGCTGCTGCTGCTGCTGCTGCTGCTTCTTTTTAAGTTTATTTATTTATTTTGAGGGAGAGAGAAAGAAAGAGGAGAGCGAGTGGGGGAGGGGCAGAGAGAGAATCCCAAGCAGGTTCTACCCCATCAGCCCCAAGCCTGACGCGGGGGCTCAACTGAACCATGAGATCATGACCGGAGCCGAAATCAAGAGTCAGATACTTAACCCACTGAGCCACCCAGGCCTCCCTCTTCTGTGCCTTATTAAACCCTTTCCACGCCCCGATCTGAGAATCCAGGGCCCTGACCCTCAGCCCCTGCAGATGACCCCTCGCTGTCCTGCTCTGTGCACGCAATTCTCTCTCCCTTGTCCCCCAGCCGTCAGGGGGGGCCTGCAGCGTGCTTGAGTGCCACCCTCCCGTGTGGCTGTCCTGGGTTTTAGGGAGCTCCTGCTCCCGGTCCCCCTTGGCTGTTCCGCCTGGCATGGCTCAACCGGCCTGGGCAGTTCTGGTTGGTTTGTCAAGGACATTCTTAATGGCCACGGCACAGCCGGGCAGGGCGGGGCGGGAGGGGGCCTAGGGTGTTGATTGGTGGAGGTTCAGGTGCACCTGGGCTGCAGGCAGAGGCCGCTCTGTTAGAGGAGGGCCAGCCGGGGCCACGGCAGGCACGACGGACAGAGGTGAGGGGCTGCTGGGTGCGGAGCTGGGGGCTGGGTTGGGTGGAAGCTGCCGGGCAGGAACACGACGCCGGGGGACAGGGAGCCAGCACCTCGTTTCAGTCCTCACGGGGTGTCCTTCTGCGCCCGTGGTTTACCCGCCTCCGTGGCCTGAGCAGAGGAGAGGGAGGGCTCTGCGATGGGCAGGGGGAGTCTGAGCAGCCCACGGGGACCCCTCAGAGTGAGCGACTTGCCTCGGGGCAAGG